CAATGTCACCTTGCAAGCATAAATCCTTTGCATACGACTTAGACTACAACTGGGTATTGTAAGTGGCTGAGAGGCCTTTGTTGCCTCGAATCACTGAGATTAAGCCTTTGTTGGATGGTTTGTGGACTCTGTCCATACTCTCTGGCTGGGAGTCGTGTAATGATCATTTGTTTATTGGAGGTCTCTGTCAAAGACCTTGATTTGTGAATGGTTGTACATGGTGGGTGTGGGTGTGGGTTTGGGTGGTGTGGGTTTGGCTGAGAAGGGCGGATAGAAAGGGGTCTCCCCCCACTCTACTCTCCACTCCCCAATCCTCCGTTTCCTCCTCTCTTCCCCTTCATTCAAACTCCCTCCACCTCAACACGCTCCCCACGTCCGCGGCCCCACGTCCCCTTTATCCCCGCCACTTTGCAAATTCCGCCGCTTGTGCTACATCTATAGTCTATGTGTTCTGGTCCCACCCAAGAATGGTCCCCGTGCCCGCCTCAAGAATTCCTACTTTGACTGGCTTTTCTTCCCACGACGTGCCCCCACCAATGGCCGCTAGTTTGCAAAAATATTCCCAGAAATCATCCTCGGACAAGGCCGGGTCTATGCAGGGAGCTCCCGGAAAGATGGATAAATATTCTCAAAAATCCATCTCGGAGCCGGCCTCCTGTATGCAGGTCGCCGGAAAGATTCAAAATAATCTTTGAGTCTGGAAATATATTTCCGAAATGCGGGGGAAAATGACGTGTCCAAATGACGTCAGACATCACGTGTGGAACGTCACGTTTGGAAGGTCACGTGTGGAACGAGGCTCCAGCCCTAATCACGTGACGTCTGACTCCGCGCCGAGGAAGAGTCAACCCGCCACGTCACCATACTTTTTCCAAACCTTCTAACTCCACACACAAAATTTTCCCGAACTTCAAACAAAGCTTAATCGACTCCTAATATCAACATTACACTACTAGATTTTAATATCAACACCATAGGCAGATGTCTTGGTGGAGTTGCGAATTTTCCGTCGTGCCGAGGCCCAAAACCCTCGATTTGGCTCTAACTCCATCAATATTAACGGCACAAAAAAACTAATTTGATATTCGTCATTTTCAGCCATGGGTTCTCTCCCAAAGTGGTCTTAGTTTTTTTCGTACGTGAAATTTTTGAAAAGTGACATTTGGTGTCGTCAGGGGTCATCTCGGACATTTCGGCAACCTCCGCGGACTGCACATAAGCCCAGATTTCCCCTAACAAAATACTAAATTTCACGATTTAACACCCACGCCACATCCTTTTCTGAAATTTTCTTCGCTTAATATTTAGAGAAAATGCTGAATGACCCGAATCATGTGTCAAACAAAATGGCACGTGTCAGTTGCCCGCGTGACAACGATTTCCGCAACTTTTTTTGCTCCACAGCAACAACCAAAAAAGATCTCGAAAATCTAATTACATATTCGGATTCCCCACATATCATTCCCTATATAAAATTTTAATTTCATTTTTATCCAATTATTTTTCGATTTTTAACAACGTAAATAGTACTACAAACAATTGCACAAGGTACTAAACCTTTTTGTTTTTTCGGGGAATGTATAGTGTGTGCCAGATTAGTGCGCATTTGTTAAGGAATTTGGAAAAAAATGACAAGTGGAAATTTTAAAGTGTACATCCCATCCTTAACTATGGTTAACTATGGTTAACTATGGGGGCCACCATAGTTAAGAGTTTTTTTGGTGGGGTGTACTGGCCCGCACAGCGGCGAAAAAAGATTTTGTCGGCCCAAAAAATCCTATTCTGGACAATCCTGTATTCAGGCGCGATGGGCCGACGCCTTAACTATGGTTAACTATGGGGTGAGCCACAGTTTTTCGTCGGCCCTGGTGCAGTGTACAGGAGCGCGGTCTGGCGAAAAAAGATGGATTTTTCACGGATTTTTGCAGGTCTGCGCGCTCCTGCGTGTAAATCCGTAGGTGCATAAAAATCTTTTTTCTGAGTTTTGAAATGCAACTTTTTCACGCGCGCCCCGAAAAAAGATTGGCCTTGGCCCTAGAGGTTCC